GGGGGTGGGCTGGTGTGGCGTCGCACGTGGAACTGTGTCCCCGGCGGACCGGAGCCGTTATGCCGACATGTGCCGACCGCGTGGTAGGGTTACCAGGACGCTGTGTAGTGTGTAGCTTCTTTGTTATTTCATCACTTCCGTCGCCATCTGTGTCCTCCCGACCCAGTACATAAACGGGGCAGGAGCAACCCTCGCTCTCACTTCTTTACTTTTCGGCGCCGAGAGAGCACTGCCTCGCTCTCTCTGGCCAACTCTTCTTGTCAGTGATACTGTGTTGTCATCGCCTATTCGCCATCTGCAATACTCACCAGTTCGGAAGAATCTTGTGTTTGTGAATGGTGAAGAGTGGAGTGCAGCGGCGGATAAGAGCACGGGAGAGTGGCACACAGTCAGTTCGCACAGTCTTCTATTTCACGGTGACCGGGTCTACTTATCATTCCTATCTGATTCCTTATTTTCCTAATACCTCTTGCTCTCTGTAAAGAGGGTTCCTTTGTCTCTCTGTAAAGAGGGCTCTATATTTAGGTCTTAACATGCTCTCTGTAAAGAGGGTTCCTTTGTCTCTCTGAAAAGAGGGCTCTGCATAACCCTTTAGGTCTTAACATGCTCTCTGTAAAGAGGGTTCCTTTGTCTCTCTGAAAAGAGGGCTCTGCATACCCTTTTAGGTCTTAACATGCTCTCTGTAAAGAGGGTTCCTTTGTCGCTCTGAAAAGAGTGCTCTTAAACCTTGATCCAAAATTATATCCATTCATATAGCATCCACTTCTTATATTACAAATTCCCAATTTCGCCTCATTACCATATCAACCTATATCCTGTCAGGCCCCGGTCGCCACACCAAATGATGCGAGACGTCAACACACACACAGTTATACAGTCCACTGAGTCAAGTTGAAGAACGTCTGCAACAACTCCGTTTCGTGATCGGCAGCTCGGCAGCTGGCCGGAGCTTCGTGACTACCTACCGCTCCCGCAGAAGTCGGTTTCGACAGCTGCCGGGCGCGTCGTGCGAGTCCTATTATGGATTTCTGCTCACCACTGACGGTTTCCGAGATACGCGACCACTAAATCGAGCACCGACCACTGTCACCGAGCACGGACGGTGTTCATTAGAGTGAGCTCGGTAAAAAGGAAACTAGGGATTTAACAGGACAGGACTTCGTTTCCCATCCTTGCTCTGATGTTACGCGCTCCAAAACGGGTCACCCAGTTCACTACAGAAGCATACAATTACAGAGCCACGCATCAAACCCCGCTCATCGCATCCCATTAGCCATCTCATTCGTCATCTCTTCACAACCATCCACTTTATTCGTAATTCAATTTCATCCCTTCTCCATTCCGGTTCAGTTGTTAAGTGTGTTTCAGCAAGTGCGTTTCAGTCGGTGCGTTTCAGTCGGTGCGTTCCATCTGTCGTTCCATTCCGTTCCGTTCCGACGCCGCGCCGTTTCGCAATCTGCGTGGGCCGTTCGGCGCCTGGTGCCCGCCTGTCACGGCCCGATAAGTGACCCGGGCAAATGACCTCAGTCTGGAGCGGCGACACCAGCCGGCCGTGAAGCGTCACGCGGCCCGTCACGCCAGGCTCGAGCCGTGTGACGGACCGACGCACGTCACAGACGGAACACGAGCGGGAAACGCGAACACGGAACCGTTACCGCAGGGAAAACGGAACACGGAGCACATCTATCCGCGGAGCTTCAATCTTCAGATTCTTAGGTCTGTGGTTAATTAAAAATAAGATGTGTTACGAAAGCAAACCAATCAATTGCGTTCTTGCAAATATTCACTAGCTTTGAGAAATCGCTGCGCGACCATTACGGATATATCATATATTGTCATGTCAACGATGCCAAATGCCCCCGCACTCGGCGGACGTTTATAAGCCCGCGTAGGCGACTCTGTTGCATAAAGCTCTCAAGACGTCACCGTCGGACGGGCGGGGGAGTTGCGAGTCGCCCTGCCAAGACTGATGGCTGGGTGGCCCGGCCGCCCCGGCGGACGTGCATCTCGCTCTGGGCGGGGGCGGCGGCGGCGGCGGCGCGCCCATCCTTGCATAACGCCGCGCCACCGCCCGCGATTGTCTGCGCGAGGCTCGCGCCGCGCCGGGGCCGCCAGAGGTGCTCTGCAGGGCCCGTCGGCGCTCTGTGCAGGTCGGCCGAGGTCGTGGGAGCACGCCCTGCGCGGAGCTGACCGGCCGGGTCAGACGGCCGCCGCCCGGGGTCACGCCCGGGTCACGGGGTCAACCGAGGTCATCGGGCCGATCAGAGGTCGCCGGGGTTATCGGCGGTGATCGGGGCACGTCGGGCAGAGAGCGATCGAGTCAGAGCGACGGACTGGTGAGCGGCAGCCGCCCTTCTGTATAGCTCTGCAACTGCATCTAAAATGGGACAGTGTTTATATTTGGAGCAACACTATACGCAAACAACCCAAAGGATGGCCACCGTAACCGTACTATAATATCAATTCGCACTGTTGAAATTCGTTGACAAAAAACCACGACTCTTTGCAACGCATTCTGAATCCGCTAATATACGGACAAAATATATTCCGAGCACACAAACTCAGCGATGCCGGAGATTAGAGCTTAAGGGCTGTTTACGTCAGCACTTAAAGCTCAGATGGTCGGCTGCTCCTCTCAAAGCCCCGCTGCTGGTAAGTAGCTGGCCAGTGACGGGTTTTCTAAAACCCAAACGGACAGAAATGACGCCAGAACGCTCTTTTCAGTCTGATCTCGTTTCAGATAGCGTCAGCCAAACCAAGAAGTCACCTCACGATCAACGTAAAAGAGGCACGCTGGACAAATACGCGATAGCTTGCCATGGTCCCAGCCGGTCTGTTAAACCGTAAAAGTACACATCAAAGCCAAGAATGGCACGCCATAGTGGCGTAAACGCCATTTGCAACATATTCGATGTATTACATAAATGCTCCGCGGCTAGCATTCGCAAGACATCCGATTTACGAGTTTCGCAGGCAAAGAGAAAGGCCCAGGGAGTGAATGTGAAAACACGCTCCCAGATTCTCAAAGGCGTGTGTCCACGGCTTCCCCGGGTTTCAGGGGAAAGAGAACGGTTCACAGTGTGAACCGTTCTCTAAACTTTCCAAAAACAGTGCTAACTTATTAAAAGCATAGCGATCTGAAAAAGATGCAAGTTTATGGCGCTATAACGCGAGCGGACTGCATTACCAAGATGAACAAACTGTCTATTTTTGGAAACCACGCGTGCAACGTTGAACATTTAGGGAGAATATATTAGACAAAACGGCCCATACGACATGCATGATGTGCATAACGCACAGGCTGACAAGCAGTCACGATTATATTTGGAACAGACTTGAAGCAAACTTCGCAGATATTTCTTGGTTCTGGTTCTGGAAATGCGACCAGCATCAACCAGGAATAATTGTTGCCAAGAGCGTTTTCATCCTGAAATCACACGTTCTACGCGTGGAATGTGTGTTGAACATCGACATCGTTAAACGCAATAGGTGTCACGAATAGAGTGTTCAATGTTCAATATCAAATGACGCCCGGTGAAAAGATCTTTAAACGCCGCCTTGAAACCATTAAACAGTTGCGAAGAAAACCAATCGCGATTTTCATCCATGGCACATGAGCGGCAGTGCATGTGGACTGTGGAGCAGCCCAGCCGACTGACACCAGTGACCTGGCACCAGAGAGGCACCAGGTCACCAGCGCTGACCTGGCACCAGTCAGCGGCACCATGTCACGGCGACGGCCCCCGCTCCGCCTGCACCAGTGCACCACCTGGCTGCACCAGTGGTGCTCCAGTGACCGGCGCCGACGCGTGGGTACCAGCCACCGATTGCAGTCGGCCAGTTCAAAGCGCCCAGAGGCCGCCTGACCCCGGCCGGCGGCCCCTCTGAACGCTGATTACGCTAACGCTAATTGCACAATCGTTATTTACCATCAGATTGTGTGCTTAAATTATTATGATAATAATCATTTAGAGCTGTTGGTGACCGGCCCGACACGCGATTGTCGGCTATAGCTCGGATTGTGGTGAGCAGGTATGGTGTTTGGCTGGTATAAAACGGACATCACATCCAGACTACACCTATCATTAATCCGCCACTAAAACAGCATAATATTAACTATAAGCTGGTACCCGACACTCCTGTGATGGTTTTAACATATCCCGTTACGATGAAATACTCCGAACGACTGTAGCTGTTTGAGCTTTTACCGGCCCCAGATTTGCGAGCGATTTACGAACCCCTAATCGGTAACATCTGCATCGGCGAGTCGATTTAAACACCTCGACACAGCCGATGAGGCGTCGCACGGCGCAGCTCGAGCCCCACACATGTAGGGCACGGGCCGGACCGGGCCGCAGCGGCTGAGACGTATGTAAAGCCACCCCTCAAAAGGAAACGCGACGAAGGCCACATTAATAACGCGCCCAATGCATGGTATCGCACTTCGGCGGCTGCATTGTTTCGTAACGGCAGCTGTTTATGGCTCGGCCTGCTAGCGTCATGAATGAATAAATTGTAGCAGGTTTGGTGAGCGGCGGCCCGCCCGCGGCTTCCCGGCGCTGCCAGCCATGTCAGGAATGAATTCCGAACATTGGGCAAATGCCGTGCGGAATATCGAGCACCGAAGACACCCGACATGCAAATATAACTGTATACATGATTTGGGAATGGGAAGGTTTGTACAGTACATCGATAACATTTCCATGGAACGAGCGGTCACGATTGCCCAAACTGTTCGATGCCGGCAGCGATGGAAGCCGGCGGCTGGGGGAAGCCCGCCGACCCGTGGTTGTTATGCCTCCGTCAGCCTATCGCTGCTATTGATTTCCTGTCAGAACACGCACACGTTGGTGGTCCTAACAGTCCCCGCTAGTCCCACCGAGCTAACACGGAACGGTAACACATTGAGCAGCCCCGTCCTCCCGTGAAACATGCGCCGACACGCACGGACCCCGCCGAGCCACCTCAGGACCCGCCCCAGGGTCACCGGTGGTACTCACACAACTCCGCCGTCCGACAATCCGACTCGTCGCTAACGACACACCGTCGACGTCGACCTTCTCTGGATCGATACAGAGGCACAAAGCTCACCGCGGCACAACCACCCCGCTCGGGAACCGACCTCCGACTGCCGGCCGCCGGCCGCCGACCAGCTGCGCCCGGACGGGGGCGGGGCCTGGCCCAGCCCGGCCGCTCATTGGTCGAGCCGCGCGGGCCAGGGGAAATGTGACGGGGAGTGCGACACACGTGACACTTTGGTGACCGGAGTCGGAGGGTCGGAGGGCGCTAATTAAAGTTGGTTACTAATTAGGGCATACGACTCATGTTTTGAAATCTTTTTTTTGTAGATATTGGCAAGAGGACTGCCAAACTTCAACCTATTGTGCCTCGCTCATTTTCTTTACAAAATAACTGCCGACGAATTGAAATTACCTACCAGCAGGCCACATTTTCGACTCAAGTTTGTGAGGTGTTGGTGTTCATGGTTAAACTGCGAAAATTACTTTCTCGCCGTGCTTGCTACGATGTATTTATCTTTTTGCCATAAAAAACGTGATTTAAGTGACATAACTCACTTTAATCACAGTCACACCAACATAAGTTTTGAGTTGAGATAGCCAAATTGGGGACCTTGGCTTGCAACTACCGGTTTAGGCACCGGTTACCGGTTACCGGTTACCGGTTACCAGAGGCCCCAAAATGTAAACAAAAATAAAAGTCTAATAACTCAAAAACCTGTGAGTAATCTTCAGTGAAATTCGGTAGCCATCCATTTTTGCTCCTTCCGAATCACGGTGGTACATCACTTTCATGACAATCAATTGACTTTTTTGAAGGTGGGAGGTTCCCTTTAAAAGACATCAGAAAGCGAAATGAGCGATGAGTTGTAACGATACAGGTATTTTAATGTTCCCAACATTTTAAGTTGTTGGGTTCGTGTGAAAAGAATGTGCTCTGTTAACCAGACGTGTCTTATTAGGACAGAGCTTAACACACCCCAGTGAGTTACAGACGCGCTCAGGGCTTGACAGCTCAAGGCTTGGCGTGTCGTGTTTTGTAAATTCCCGAAAACTCGCAAACCTCCCATCAGACGTGCTTTTCCACTGCCTTGTCACATTTCTCTTTACTCGTTTAGATATTTTTGAGGCGCATGGAAATTGGAGCTAAATATTAAGCACAACCGTACCTAAAAACGTTAGGCATATCAGCTGCTGACATGCAGGAAGCAGTTACATACATATTTCAAATTTTGATGCCGATGTCGGCTACTGTCGCAGCCCCTCGTCTACGTAGACCGAAAATATTTTGAAAACATTTTGACCGTTTTAGATATATGAAAAGACAAACCTGTAGGAAACGCTCTAGTTGTGTCTTGCCAGTTGCCACTGAGAAACAACTAACAGCAAAGATGCATGCTACAACCGCATTAGCAATCAGCAACATTTCTTGACCATTTAACAAACCTACTGATTGCCAAAAAAAAAATCGCTTTTCTCAACGCCTTTTTAAAACAGCGATATTTCAGGTTCCTTATTCACCGAAAATGCAATCGCATTGTGTTACCAATGGTGTATTACTTTCTCACCTCACTTAACACCAGCTTTGCATGCAAACACAAAGCCTACACTGTAAAAAATATTGACGAGCTATGTGTCAAAACAAGGGTCTCGAAACAGTCACCAGGTTGTCAATGCTTCCGGTACCTACCACTTGACTAGTTACCGCTTAGTTAGCTTACAGGCTGAGAACTATCCAGATCGTTATGATCCGGTATTGTAATGATACCCTAGGTGTACCTTTGTTTTGAAGTGCTGAATTAACTATCAATGTTGTTTGACGTTTGTTTTCGCCTCAATCCGAAACGAGGAAGACCCTCATCAAATTATTAGGTGAAAGCCAGCCTCAGGATGATCAAAATACTAGGGGTAGTTTTGTCATAGTGTGAAGGGTGAGGAACAAGCCGTAGCAATGCACTCGTCACTAAACCAGCCTGAGATTATTCGCCAGGTAGCTGCTGCGTTTCCCTACTTGCTGAATCATGTTTGCAACTTTCCATTTCCAGACACTTTTTACGGCAAATAAATTGTTGGGTTATTTGGAAGTTGAATGACAATTTTATTTCAATAAGTCAATACATTTTTATTTCCGATTGCCCTAAAACTTTTTTTAATCGTTTGCGGTAGGTTTTTATTGTTCGCAGTAAAGTTGCGCACCTGTGAATCCTTCACTTAATGCGTTCCCGGCTTCCCGGCGCCAGTTGCGCTGTGCCGTGCCGCGTTCGGTCGGGGGTGCGTGCGTCTGTGAAGTGCGAGTGTTTATCACTGGGCAAACCTGTATCGTTTCCATTTGTGCAGTGTCTAGTTATGAAGAATTGCTTGCCGATATATGACCTGCAGTGATCGACGTTCTGATTCAATAACTTGCCATAAGCCATTATTCTCAACCAAATCGCGCAGAGACGTTTGCAAAGTTGTCGAGGGGGGGGGGGACAAGAGCGATTTTAAATGAATTGCTCTCCATGCAGTGCAATAGGACTTTGGTTTAATTTTTCGAAAGTTGTGGAGCCGCCCCCGGTGTCCGGCCTGGCCAACTCTCTCAAGAACCGACAGCTAACGGAACACTGAAGTTTCACTACGACGATTTCCGCCAAAGTTATGAAGAAAAGGCAAGTGCAAGAAGTACAAAACTTCTCTTGGTAATCAAAACTTAGGTTTGGCAAATTCCAAACCCTAAGTCACTACAACTGTGGATATAAATAAGCTGGTTATTGACGGCCAAGCTCTGGCCAATCTGAGGTTCAGACCTATCATCAAGTTCATGAGGCAGCTGCGGTTTGGGCGGCTCACGGGCTCCACTGCATAGGCTCAGACAGGTACTTTACAAAATGTCTTCTGTGTTCTTAAGTTCAGATCTATCGATAGGTATGTGCATGCTTCTGATTCGATTGATAACTGTAAACGGGCGCTGGAAGTGAAAGGTTCGCTTGATATACGAAAGGTGCATTGCAAGAAAGCACATTATTTCAGAAATACACTTTCATTTTATCTTGAGCGTTTTTGGAATGGGCCGGATGAATTCGTCATCAAACTGGTAAGGGATTTCGTTTGAAGACCACCGATATTTAATAATATGATGGTCTTCAAACGAATTCGCTGGCAAATTCGATGACTGGATTGGGCGGCGTAGGATCTGCTGGTCATCTGACTATGGGTTGATTAGGGCCTAGTTGGGCCCCTAGTTTTGACCTAGTTTGAGCTTCATTCGTTAAGTAGGAACAAGACGATGCTTCTTTTGAACATCGTCACTAAACAAGCCGCCCTCGTTTTGACATTGTTTTTCGTTATTATTGTTACTAGGTACTTTGTTATCATACACAGCATTTACGAGGACCTGCTTCCAAAACAAGGCAGAAACGCTCCAGCTATTTTTGGGACGTGGTAAAAACTAACCGACACCTGGTAACTGTCATCTGACGAACACAAAACAAGCCAGGGGCTCGCAGCGTGTGTCAAAAGTAGGATGCAAAACTAGTCTGTACCCCCGACATTTAGCGTTGAGAATCATTTGACGAGGGGCTAGTCAATATTTTTTACAGTGTATGGTGTAAGCCCTGTCAGGTCACCTGTGACTATGCAATATGCATAGGTTAATTCTATGAACAAATTAACTCAGATATTTATGGAAGCTCAATAAAGCTGAGACCGAGTCAGAAAATATACCTCTTGGCTCAGTAATAAGAGTAACAAAATGCCTGAGTACCGTGAATGATTGTAGGCACAAATAATATCGGTTTATTAACAGTTGTAGGCCGTAGGGTATTCGGCACCGTTTTGTGATGATAGGTCCATTATTGCTGAAAATCATAATGATCTGACCTCGAAGCAAAAGTTTTAAATTTAAATTCCAAGCATATCAATGCATAAAGAGAAAAAACATGGTGGACAAAGAGGCCTGTGATTGAGGCATAATTGTGACAACTGAGATAACCAAATAAATTCGATAGTCTTGTTGTAAAAGCCTCCATAGAAACCGAAGCAAAACTTTTTCAGTGACTTTCCCCTTTGTAAAACGATCTGGATAGGTACCTCAGTAAATTTATCATTTCGTTGATGTCAAAGCCCGGTGAGCCTTGTTCCTTCTTTAGCAAACCTAGACCCAGCAGCTTCAAAATAAAAGAGGATTTGCGGCAGCCTGGTATACACAAAAATGGCAGAGGATGCGGTGCAGTTTGAGCAGTTCAGCGTCTCTCGGGCCATAAGCAGCTTCCAGTAAAGCCATAATTCGAGGCATTGACGTCAGTCAAAGCACGTCACATCCGTCAGAACTCATGAGTTTTGCTCTTCCAACAAGATTTTCACTGCGCACAAACTTCTAGAGTGTACCTACTGTGTTAGTTGTTACCTCTGCAATGAGATGGTAGGAGAGGACCGTTTTATTTAATATGTGCTAGGGATAGTTAATGAATGACATTAAATCATAATTGGAAAACAATGGGAACCACGTTGTCATTCAATATCAATATGAATGTCATTAACTAAATGGTGATTACCACGATATATCAGCGTTCAGCACAACAAGTGATGCATCATTTGCAAAGGAAACTAGGCTGCAAAGCTGATAGAAAAGCTGTACTGCAGCTCTGAGCGATTCGTTCCTATTGCCCATCTCTTCCAACTGTAAACATCTGCATGTTAGATCTCAACATGTGTGTGACGCAGCATTTCAGGAAGTGAGTCAACATGACCCATCATCCAAACTATGTCTGATAAACTACCATGGCATGCCATGCGTTTTTATAACATTCAACTCTTTACGAACACAAGACACGACTCCAATGACAGAGTGACGTTTAGTTTGACAGAAGAAATTCCAGCCATATGAGATGCATTCCTGATGCCAGTGAACCCACTCAGTATACCAGTTTATTCCGGGCAGTGCATACGCTAGAGCAGCTGTGCGCTTTGGCCGTCCGCCGTCTGCCCGATAACCTTCACACATCACCGCCCGGCGGTCACCCTCCCTCCCCCTCCCCAGGACAGGGGGTTGTCCATAACAGGCGGCAGGTGGGCCATGCCCCCGGGCAGTCGGCAGCGCGCGCGCACTCCATATGTTCCCAAGTCGCGGCGCAAATC